AATAAATATATATACATACTTTTCTTCAGGTGCCACAGGTCAAAATAGTGTGTTATATTAGAATAATTTTTCTTCATACAGCTTGTAATAGTTGTGTGCCTGTCAGAAATAAATGTTGATATCTCCAATTCCAGTCCCATTAAAAAAGTCATTGCTTGTTGGAAACCCATGAACTCCATGGCAGGGCTGTTTCCTGCTTGGTTTCTCTAAACAAAGGTACAGTACAACAATTTAAAAAAGGTATTTATCATTATCATCATAATGTAGTTATGATTATTTTTGTCATTATTATTATGACTATCATTGTTATTATAAGTATTGTCATTATAAAGTATACATGAATAATTCAACTTGAATATGATTATCAAAAAATCTTCATACTTACAGTACTTTTGATTTTCTCCCACTTAGTGTTCAGGATAGTTATAAAAATAAAGAGAAAAACTCTACTTATTTGCTGTATTGCTATATACTGTACCTGGATTAACTCGAAGTGTAAAATCATTGGGAGAGTGCAACAAAACATTGTGTATGCTCCAAATTTAGCTGAATGCCCCATGCTGTYGTGGCGACCATCTCCAGCCATCACAAGGGCACTTCCCAAACTTTTCACCTTTTCAATCATTTTCGACTGGTATGCTCTCCAATATAGCAGAATGGTAGGGAAGAGTTTTGTCTAGAGGGAATAAAAATGACTGAAACTTACTGACGTTTCGGACGCTAGTCCTTCGTCGGAGTAAAAGAGCCGACGAAGGACTAGCGTCCGAAACGTCAGTAAGTTTTTTCATCTTTTCACGGTGTATAATTTACCTTTTCATCATTACTATACACTTGTATACTTAGACACATTTGACTTGATTAATGAAAGCTTTTACTATGTATAATATTTTACAGGCAGATAGAGAACTTCCTACTCACTTGAGAGCTAACGCCATGCAGCCATAGGAATTAAAGTCTCTTCATTACGATCACTCTCACATTCGAATAATAATTTCCATGATACAAGCTCCTCCATTTTAGTGGTGTTATTACACTAACTATTGTAATATACCAGTCTGATGCAGTCTGATGTTGTCCGATGCAGTTTGATGCAGTATGATGCAGTCTGATGTTGTCCGATGCAGTCTAGTGCAGTCTGATGGAGTCTGATGCAGCATGATGCAGTCTGATGCAGTCTAGCGCAGTCTGATGCATTCTGATGCAGTAGAATGAAGTCCGATGCAGTCTAGTGTGCCTTAGTGCAGTCTAGTGCAGTCTAGTTTAGAATAGTGCAGTCTAGTGCAGTCTAGTGCAGTCTAGTGCAGTTTAGTGCAGTCAAGTGTAGTATATTGCAGTGTAGTGCAATCTAATACCGTAGATATATACCATATGATTTATCTAAATTACTAGAAGACAATGGATGAGCGATTCCTGTATTTAGGAGTATGTTAACAGCATAACATTCGCCATTTTGAATTACTATTTTAGCGCGCAAGGAATTGTGGTTGTAATTGAAACTTCTCGCCCCAGATTCTCTCTGTTGTAGGTCTTCCAAATATTGGCAGAGTGGGGGAGGGGTGGGTTTGGATAATATAAAAGATAGGACAACATTTAAAAAAAAAATTCATTTTTGTAAAATAATTGAATTTTACTAAATAAATTTTCCATTGATAATTTTCTAAACTATGTACTATTTGTTAAATTGAGTAGTATTTCCAGGAATTATCTATACCCCCCTCCCCCTAACCTCACACAGATTCAATTTTGGAGTGGTGGACGGTCAGAGAAAGAACAATTGGAAGAAAATTTGCAACACGCGATTGTCCGAGAAAAAATTCTCAAGTTTTGAGGAGTTGTAGCCGACAAATTTAGCAAATTAATAACTCATGTTATATTTCCTCGTGACGTGACCTTTAAAGAGGGCTTGCAGAGCATGAAATTACCCGGACTTCCAGATCAAACTGCATCTGTTTCGATGGAGTGGATTACTAGCTGTATTGCCAATAGGGAGATTCTCAGAATGATGGCATTGGACCTCAACACAAATCAATAGGAAACAACGGAATGAAACTAGTAGTGTTTCATATAAAAGTTGTGGGTTTCAAAGTTTGTCTCACTCCAGTGTTGGTATGGTGGTATTTGTCTGTGTTAATGTTACTATGATTCCTTATAAAGGTTAAGTCACTATATTCTTTTTGTTATGATAAACAGGTTATCATACCCTACCCCAGACTAAGATTAAGAATTGTACACCCTATCCCAGACTAAAAGACGGAAAAGACGGTTATTCAATAGATTACAATCAACATTTATTAACGTTTGTATTGTTTTTGTGCCGGCAGAAAGCGTAGCCTATTCGCCAGACAAAAATGACCAAATCGTTAACCCTATCCCAGACCAAATGTCAAAAAATGATACCCTACCCCAGACCCAAGAGCCGAAAAAACATACCCTATAGGGCGGCACATATCCGTATAGCAAATATAGGGGAGTACCCCCTCCCCCCGGGGTTTAGTGCAAGCATACTAGTTTGCAAATAAATGTTAATATGTGATTGGTTAATACAAAGACATGCCATCGCCAGTTTGCATTGGCATTTCTGATTTTATACTGGCACCTGTTACTGTAGATACCATAAATGGTATGAATAAGTCAATCCTTTGTGTACGTTTAATTGAATAAATCATTTTATTCTATTTTTTACAAGAAACTGACTTTACTCTCTTAAATCGCCTTATTCGCTTTAAATCACCCCAAAAATTACCAAAATTCCATCATATTTTCTTAAATCGCCTTAAGTCACATTAAGTTGCTTGAAATTACGGCGACTTAAGGACCTGGGGTATACACTTATTTCAATAAAGTTAGTCACCTGAAAAGCTACAAAGCTGAGACCGGCAAGGATTATGAGATTTACGCTCGTATTGTATGTATTTTTACCGTTTTAATAGTCATTGAGCGAGAATAATTAAATTTCTGTTAGCCACAGGCAGGCCAAACAAGGTTCCTGTGTATGGTTTATGTAGGGAACGTATGGGAGTTATAATGAAGATATTGCAATAAACTGTTTCATCCAATGATCTGCTTCAAAAATTGCTGCAGCCTTCGCTTGTACCTTATTCAATCTTCTGGTCAAGTTATAAGTTTTTTTTCAACATCCGTTCTTCTCTCTCTACCTAAATAATGGAAAGGCTGGAGACTTAACACCCAACATCTGATCGACCACATCATGCTAACAAATCCCAAAAACTCTCACTCAAAATCTTAGATTTAACATTTTCTACACCTTGTTATCTGCAGAGTCTTTTATGGTTAAAGAATGGGACGAAAAAGCCAGCCTCTCCCCACACCATTTGTCTTACGTCATCAGCATTTTACTGCCTAAACGACTGGTAACTTTAGATCGAGACATCAACCTCGAATCACAGCAGCTCAAAGCATATTGTGAGGAGAAACATATAACAAATGCTGTACCGGTGGGCAGTTCAACAGAGGGGCTCAATATTCCACATTCCATGTCAATCGAAGTAAATTCACAGCTTGGCACTCATGCAGACGCAGATATCTTGTTTGTCGAGAAGGAGTTCCAGATATCCACCTCAGATCCAATCCAGGGTTTAAATATCCAAGCGACATTGGAATCTGGCGACGTTCACCCAGGTTACACCAGAGTGTGTTTACACAAGTGCACCGAGGACCTTAGAGATGTCATTACTCTAAACGATAAAAAGTACCTAAGCGGGCAGAGGATTCAGAATAGAATGCACAAGAAAGTCGTCAGCAGTGGCCCTGAAGACGACCAAAAATCTATATTGATTCATGGTCCAGCAGTGTCGGTAGAGTACTCGACCGTCTTAAATGCTGAAAATATACAAACCTATGGTCTTAGGATTGACCTACATACATACATACTTTATTATTTGGTACCTCAATTTGATATTTACAAGTCATAGATATATAAATTAACAAGAATTCAGGCACA